TTTTTTTTCAATTTGTGTGCTAGACTGCTAGCAGGATTTGTCAGTGTTTTCTATCTCACTCCCTTTCTTAGGGTTCTTTTCACCTTTCCCTCATGGTACTTGTACACTATCGGGCGCATGATTCTGCACATACTGTCACACTTTGCTAAGTCAAGTCAGTAGCAGAGTTTTGGTTAAGGAACTTAAGGATGTACATTGGACGGTGGACCCAGTTTTCAACAGGTGCTTAGCCTCACCAATAGATTGGAGCTCCCTGGGTGAGTTCTACTAGGGAGGGGTGTTCACATCACCCCTTGCTAGTAGGCTGTGCCTGGTTTCATGAAAAGAAAAAGAAAAATCAGGCTCATCCTGTTGCGACTCTGTTTGAAAATGTGAACACACGGCAGAGTTGCAGTTGATGCGTTGCTGGAGCGCAAGCAACGACCATCGCAAGAATCAGAACGCCACTGCCTCCTCTTTTCTTGTCTGAGCATGGGGAAAGAAATTGCACTGATAATGAGCCTTCTGCATCCGCACCTGTAGGGTATCGTTCCATGAATGTGCTCGCCCATGGGGAAGGCTAAAGTCATGAGCTTTATTGACAGTGTGTACAACACAAAAATGTGAAAACAATCGTTAGGCCAATGTGAAAACACTCGTTTGGCCAAATTGAATGAATATATGCATGGTGGTAAAAAACATAAAACCGATGGTAGCTGGTGAGGTGGGGCATAAAGAGACTCACTCCACCTCCTCACTCCACCTACTCGACGCTTTCAATGATATGATGAAACAGTGCAACCATCAGTTGATGTTGATCGAATGACAGTCCTCTGCCGGAAGTGTGCATAGCGCCGCCCCTCGCAACACACCATGTGATTTGCAACAACGCCTTTTTAAACCACCACTACCATCTTGGAATAGAACGCCCGTCGCCCGGTCATTATAGCCATATTTGGTGCACTTTTCAGTCCAGGTACACCTATAATAACTGGGTGTTCTATTCGGGTGAAGACGGAAGCCAGTGCTTTCCCTTTACCACGCGTCTTTCGAGTTAGGCAGGTATTAGGGGGGGGGAAAAAAAGGGGTCCTCTGACTTCCAGTAAAAACATGATTCGACTGGATCTCACCGGCATTCACCTATAGGCTGTGGCGCTTCGAGATGCCGTTTATAACATCTGGCCCCTGACGATAAGGTAGGTGATCTGCTGCTGCCCCCTGCCACGGAAGTGTGCATAGTGTCCCTCGCTACACGACACACGGTTTGATTGACAACGGTGCCTTTTAAACCGCCACTACGATTTCTGATGTTGCCCACGCTGAATTTTGGAACGCCTGCAGGAGGCGATAACTAGAAAGTGTGGGCGACGTAGCTGGGAAGAATAATGGTGGTTTAAACTTTGAACTTTAAACCACCAGTACTTTTCCCAGCCATTTCGTTCCGATGTGGTGGCCATTAACGCCGCACTACGTCTTTTAGGGCTCTGCCTACCAGACCGAAACTGCTTGTGGCGCGAGGCAAATTGGACGAAAAAAAAGAAAAAAAAAAAGCAGTGGGATGTTGTTTCGTTTTTTATGGCCATGAAGCACAATCCGCGTCAGGAAAATGAGAGGCCCGGGGCAAGGTCCCACTTGCGCAAATTAGGAGATCTCGGCCGTTGATCTTTGCTATCTACGGTCAGTATCTCTTAATTCGTGCAAGTGGGACCTAGCCCCCGGAAGTACTGGCGGCTTAAGGCTAGCCCATGGTGTATGAGCGGTTCATTGAGGAATGAACGCTCTGTGAACTTTGAGTGAATATTCGGAGAGATCACTGCGTGTGTACTGGGGAGTGCACAAGATTACTCAAATTATTGCACTTCAGGAAAAAGTTACACAAATTTTTTTATTTTATTTTTTTCAAACAAATGCTCCAGTCTAAGATATATCAGGAAAAGTGTCAATGTGAAAAAAAAAAAAAAAAAAAAAAAAAAAAAAAAAAAAAAAAAAAAAAAAAAAAAAAAAAAAAAAAAAAAAAAAAAAAAAAAAAAAAAAAAAAA